CAAGATGTAACGATCATCGCAATAAAATCACACGAAAGAGGCTCCGTTGTAGTGGGAATAGGGAGTCAACCGACAGCCAAGATTCACTATGCGCTGACTGATGTGAAACATTACAGACAGACGGGAAGACAGAAAAACGCGTGCCGTTTTCTTCACACCATTCGCTTTGCCCAGCCGACAGCAGGGCAGTTGGGCCGTGACACGAAAATCTGACACGCTCGCTAGCGTTTCTCAACTCTTTTCGGCGCCTGTCGGCACAACAGATCAGTGGTCGGCACTCATGGTCTACCCGGGTCTCGGAAAGAAAAAGTACGAACGCAGAGCAGAGCGCCGAACGCGACTTTCGTAAAAAGAAGCTCCGGTAACACTTCGGTGACTCTTGAGTTTCAAACAACGAGTCTTCAAACGAGCCGGCGCATCGAATGCGTCAAACAGTTGCGGCGGCCAAGCACGCCGGAATCCAGGGGACTGGAGGCTTAATATCCGAAAGAGACGCGGCGGCCTGGTTTCTGCGTGAATCGCATTTAGCACAAAATATAACAGGAAGCGAAGCTACGCGAGTGTGAACACTGACCGACGTTACGTTGGAGTACACGGAGTCGAAAGGACGCCTGTAACAGATCACACCTAGAAGCTTTCAAATAAGCTGCGATTTCAAAACTTGATGTGCGCTTTTTGTCCTTCGATGTTTACTTTGATCTGTGAATACCAAAGCACTCAACGCTGCTGGTAATAAAGTCACGTATGCGTACCTTTCGAAGTGATTGCAAGCGCGTTGGTTTCGTTTGGAGCCGACGAGCAAAGAGCGCGAGGAACTGTCAACAAGGCCTCAGACAGGGCGCTGCGTTAACTGCGTCCCTTCGTTGGTTGCGTCAATCCGTCGTTCGCGCGACGAGCACGACGAGGCTGACGAGGCCTGCCGCGGGCTCGGTTTCACTGCGCATGCGCGGCTATGGCGCAGGCTCTCTGCGCGCTGCTCGCGAGCTGGCGCGCGCGCGGGATGAGGATGAAAACTTGTCTTCTCGAAAAACGAGGCTGCAACGTATCGTTTGATGGCGCAAATGCATGTATTTTTTACGTCATTTTTTTACGGTGTACACAACGCCTACAATAGCTCTAAGCTAGCACTTCTTTATCGATAGATCAAGAACCATCGACTACGTTAGCTGTGCTGCTATTGGTCAGGGCTACAAAATATGTAGAACGGTTAAATGAAAGTGCCTCGATTTTTACTGCTGAGTTTTATAGTCTGATAACTGCAGTCGACCACAATGTCAAATATCGATACAGAAATTCTGCTATTGTTTGGGCTCTCTTAGCTGACTCCAACCACTCAACTCTCCAACTTCTTGGAAGCATCTTCTGCTGGTGCAACTTTGTAATTCACTTACAAAAGCCCGTCTTCAATGTCGAGACCGTAACACACTCATAAATAAAATACAGATTAAGTTTTGGTGTGTTCCTAGCCATATTGGCATTGATGGCAATCAGGCAGCTGACCGCTTAGCGTCTGCATGTGTAGAACGGACAATTGACTATGACAGTATCCCTGCTACTGATTACTGGGTACCACTAAAAAGGCAAAGTTCGCATGGCAAAGGGTATTGGATTCCCATCTTCAAAATAGACTACATTTAATTAAGCCCGTCCTCAGTGAGTGGCGCAGTGACAAACGCCGAGAGCGTCTTTATGAGATAACTTTTTGCGGTTGAGAATAGGACAACCCAGGTTACTGATAATTACCTCCTGCATAGGGAGAGTGAACCGACCTGTTGCTTTTGTTCCGAGCCAATAAGTATCCTTGATATTTTTATAGTTTGTCAACACCTTGAAGAGCACCGTCAGACTTGTTTTTTTTTAATATTTTATCAAGAACAAATACTATTTTAGTGGGTGACGAGCCTCTCGTCTCACTCCCCGCAAGTTTTTAGTGTTTTGGAAGAAATTTATATTCGGCGGAAATTATAAACACCGTTTAGAAGTCTAGTTTCTAGTAGTGTTCATTTTGAGACTTTAGTCAATCTATAAAAAAATGTATCTGTCCTCTCCACGATGTTTCTGGGGCACTAGAGCCCCAATGCTGCTGCACCAGAAAAAAAAACACCCAAACTAGGCCTATTTACTCACACTCGTTAATCTTTTTTTAGATTCGATTTCCTTATTGTCTGCCTCACAACAAAGTTTTCGCCAATCACTGTCCTGCGAAACTCAATTTGTTTACTTTCCCTGATGACGTACTTTCCATTCTTTACCGAGGATTCCTGGTTGACTGCTTCTTTCTCGACTTTTGCAAGGCGTTCAACAAAGTCTGTCACAAACGTCTATTTTTTACACTCTGTAAACTTAAAATAGACTCAATTTTTGTCATGGATTCAACGTTTTCTAACTGATCGTTCGCAGTTTGTTACTAGCAAAGAAGCTGATTCTTGTCTTAGCCCTGTTACTTCTGGTGTTCCCCAAGTATCCGTTCTAGGGCCCTTTTTAATTCTGATTTATATTAATAAAATACCAGTTTGGTGAGTCCTCATTCATTAGTTTAATTGCCAGCAACTGCGTAATCTACCGTGAAATTACTAACAAAGCTGATGCCATACTTCTTCAAAGGGGCCTTTGTGCAATATCCGAACGGAGTAACGTGTGACTAATGTCTGTTAATGCTAAAAAATGTAAAGCTGAGAGGGTATCTCGGGGAAACACGACTACACCATCGTACTCAGTTTGTAACACTCCTCTGCATTTTGTGTCGTTTTATAAATATCTTCCCCCCTCCCTCAACCCCCTTACCCCCCCAGCGGCCTTGTGCCATCCTCCCTCCCAAAGGATCAATAAATAAATAAAATAAATATCTTGGTGTACATATTGCTTCTAACATGTCATGAAAATATCATACTAATGACGCCATCATCAATACTAATAGTATGCTTGACTACCTAAACGGAAACTTCTCTTCGGCACTTATGTCCTTAAACTAATTTTATACAAAGCCCTAGTTCGCTAAAAGATCGAGTACGCCCCAGCAATCTGGGATCCCGGTCAAACAACGCTCGTGTGTAACATCAAAGCCATGAAAAATGGCGCAGTACGTTTCATATTCCGTAACTATCATCGCACGGCTAGTGTCTCATCAATGAAAACCACTATATGACTACATCGTTTTCACTACGCCGAAAAACATAACGACTGTTTTTTTTACAAAACCTGTCATTCTAGCGCCTCATCGAGGGACTCATTTTTTTTCAAGCCATCTTTTATTTCTCAGAGCGTCGATCACCACTTTAAACTTTAAAGTATGCATACCTCACTGCAAAACCTCCTCGTACGTTGACTCCTTTATCCCTAGAATGTCTTCTGATTGATCCACCTCCCGATATTTTTTGTAAATAAATCGTGAATTGATTTATTTAGAGTGTCCTTGACAAATCAATGTTGCTAAACATATTATGCTGCATAATTGTTTACTTTCCAGCAGTAGCGCATTGTTTGCCTTTGTTCTTTACTTTTGTGTGACCTTTTTATGTTGGCTTTACCAACACCGCCTGTAATGCCCTCTGGGTCCTGATGCTATTGAAATTAAAAAGAAATAATAAACCGTGCAAATCTTTCGGCCAGACTCCTTTTCTCAAGCTTGGCAAACAGCCGTTGGCTTAGCCAGTACCTATGTGGGTCACTGGAGGTGATATTTCTTAACCACATTCGGGGTTGTAGATATAATTAGACGAACGTTTGAATTAAAGGCGAGGTGCATAAACTGACACAAAAAAGTGACGCAATAAGGCCTATCAATTGCATTCGCCACGAACTGCACCCTTCCTACTTTCCACCATATGAAGAAAAAATTTTATTTCTTCATGTATATGTACTTCGGAATATACTTTTTCTAATTTCTGAGGCGGTATTTTGGTAATATCCCGTTACATTAAATACAAATGTACCTTAACACTTGTATTTTGGCCTTTTACACACTAATCTCAGTATTTATATTTCTGAATACTCGTTGGAGTCTTTCTGTTCAGCTCTGTACTTCATTGTCACGAAAAATGACTACATGGTAACTTCGATCCCTCACAGTGCTTTTCGTGTTTGTCTTTTCTCCTCGGGCGAAAAGTGCAGCAAATAGCAATTTTCTTCGCCCTTGTTTTTTTTTAAATGTCGGCTTTTAATTTTTTTTATATAATATCGGAATATCTCGCCAACTTACCCGATTCCCAAACGACACCAAAGTGACGAAGAACGGCGCCGGATATGGTATTCGCAAAATTCACGACCTATAGGGGGCGCATTCGTTCCTGTCAAAATGGCTGTCATATGAATGATCGTCGCGGAAGTGAGGAATGATTCCCGAATCATCCTAACTTGTAGTATTTCTCTTGCTGCTGCCTGCCCTGGAAAATGACACAACGTACTGGTTCAACAAGACGCAGCCATTTATTGACTATCATCGCCGCTTGTCGCAACCTCAAAAAGCCCCCGGACATAATTATGCGCTCTCCTTTTATTTTCGAGGAAGCGCAGCTCTTGTAAGCGATTGTACTGGCCATCTTTTGGTGAAAAATTGCCAGAGATGATTTGGCATGCGGGCCACCTGATCGAACTCATTTCATTGACCTTGCGCTCTGTACCACCAGGCTGCCCACACTTCTCCCCATTTCCAGAAAACGAATACGGGCCGGCACCAAAGATCTTCGGGTAGCATTCCTTCTTGGTCACCGAGATGAGAGTTTTTGCACATTAGCTATCACAGGTCCCATTGAAGCTTTTCGCTAGGCCTTCGGACCGCCACCAGCTGGAACTGGTGGGTGAGGGTCACCAAGCGACGTGCTGCTTCAGGAGCGTAAAAGAATAATAGGGGCTATATGACACTTGCAAAGGTGTGCTTTCTGAGCACGTGAGATTATACAGACGCTGCTGTTTGCATGGATTGCATCTCCCGCATGTTTCTAAACAATGGGGAGAAGATATGGTTTTCAAGCCCATCCCTAATAATCTTTCCAGTCACGAAGTTAAAAAGAAATAGCCTGGGCGTTTATTCGTCGGTGTTTCTGAACAAACTTTGGGCCGGGTTAAGCCAACGTGCTTGGAATGGCGTGGTAGAAGTCCTTGAATTCTTTGACGACCGTGACCCTGAAACAAAACGACAAAAAATGTAGTCTCTGTGTGTGGGGACTGATTCCTCGAAGTATCCGCTGAACCTTAAACATCATCCTCTTCGGCGCCAAAAGCAATACGGCGTGCGTTGTGGCTGTCGCGTGATAACGTTACCCTGCGTCATTGCGTGGATCATACTTTTTCGAACCTGAGAGAAATCTTTGTAGGACCTCCGGAAATTGGAGCGTACAAGAGGCAAAAAGAAGTGTACACACCAACTCGACTCTGTTACGTCACGCCGCGGTGGTGGCGCTTCGGGCGCACTTCCGGTCTAGCCTATGAGCGGATATCGCCATGTGGGCCGGGCATAGCTGTATTGTTTTGGAAGAAACCAGACTTCAACCTGCCTTTTTGTTAGAACGCCGCGACTGGGGCTGCGCCAAAAGTGCTGGGAATGGTGTTAATATCAGTTTTTACGTGTCTTCTTCCTGTCCGGTTCGTCCGAGAACGTAGATAGGTTTCGTGAAAAGAGAAATACCAGACGCCTTTAACCCCAATTGCTTATGCCGGAAACACTTTGGGTTGAATTCACGGATACGTGTGGTCGTCAGAATTATTTCTTTTTTTCCGACACCAACGCAAAAAAACCGTCACGTTGTCTGGACTATCCGCGGACCACGTTCAGTTTGCCATCACGCTCAAAGAGCCTTGTTATCGTTCAAATTGTCGTCTGCTCTTTCGAAGTCGTGTGCTTTTCCAAACTGTCGTCCAGGCGTTCAAACGACAACGGCCCATAGACCTCACATTAACGCGATAACTGTGATAAAAAGTAAGGACAGGTCTCTAAAGACTTTCAATTTGGAGAATGTTTGTGGTACGTGGACTCGATGTAAGCCATGCATGCAAGGGCATGTTTATAATAGTTACTGGTGGTTTTCACCGAATTCTTATGTCTGACTCACAGGGTCAGATTCTGCTTCCGATTTTTAATATTTCAAGCATCGCAGCTATCCTCCTCGCTTTGGCAGCACGAGCGGCGTCGTGATTGAATATAGGGTGCAGAATCTCCTGGTGTGAATCACGCTTTAGCGTCCATTGTGCGACGTTCAGATGGAATGAATCGCGGCACGTCACATTATTTACACAAGGTTTTGCGGTGAAACGGGCATCGTTAATCTCGCAGAGGCCTCATGATGTTCGCGCTTATTTTAAAGTTTTTCATGGATCATCAGCGGGTCTCTGCTAGGTTAACATTTTAAAAAACTAAAGTCGCATGTAATCTTTTCAAAGAACGACCTATCAATGCTTTATTATATTGTGAATTTACCCCAATACTGTATTAAATTATGATATTGTTCGGAGAGCTATTCACGATAAATATTTAAATATAAAGAATAAAACGTGTGAATACTGATTATTGGGGAAAACTTAGGTTCTTAAAAAGTCTGATTCACTGTTGTGGACAACACAATGTCTTATGAAAACTCTATGCTAACATAAATGAATATTAAAGAAGGTTCCTTTTGACCATTTTCTAATATATTTTTGTAAGTGATGACGAAATGACGGCGCTACTTTAGCGCAGTAACTGTAACAAGTTACTTTTCCATTTTTGTACCTAACTCTAGCATGGTTACTTTTCCAATTTCGTAACTGCAACTGTAGCAGCGTTACTTTTTTCTGAGTAACTGTACCTGTAGTACTGTTACATTGAACCAGTAACGTGCCCATGAGTGTGTGGAACAGACATTTATAGAGTTCGTAATGTCGCCACGGGATGGTGCCACAGCCCTGCCGACAACTTCCCCCTTGCCAAATTTGTAGCCGCCCAGTGGGGGACGGCGGGTGTATCACTTAGACGCGTGTCAACCCCCCTCCCCCCCCCCCCCCTTCCCCCCCGTTCGCGAACGTTATTGACGCTTCGCGGCGACAGTTTCTGGATGACTCAATACAAAATATTCGCCCGCCTTAGGCCAGAAACATATAAAGGGGAAGAGCCTGGAGATCTATTGTCCTCGGTGACCTCCCGCCGTACCTTCGCCACTCCATGACTCCTCCTCCTCCCCCCTCCCCATAGAATTGACGTCAGGCCTAGCAACGGAAAAGGCCGGGGCAATGGCGCAGGCCTATCCAGCATTACCGATCCCAGGGGGGGATCGGTGGCCGAGTGGTCTAGCGCACACCAGCTCGGAGCACGTGGAGCGAAAGCTCGCGCTGCAGAACCCAGGGATCCTGGGTTCGAGCCCCACCCCTGCCCGTTTCGATCTGGATGAGCATCGTACCGGCGTGCGGTCGTGTATCACTACTGCGTGATGCACGTTAAAGACCCCAGGCTAGCGGCTGTACCGCACTGGCTAAATTTCTCATCTACAGCTGGGAGACTCGTCGCCCCTGTGAGGCAGACCAAGTTCTAGGCTGTATAAACACACACACAACCCAATTTTTTTTACCGATCCCAGGCCAAGGCGCGCGCATGCAGGGCCACATGGTACCCTGCGTGCGAACCCTTTTAATGCTCAAATAGAATCAATTGGCCCATGGAGCGGAGCGGGTGTTGTCCGTAACAGCGAAAAACGGCAGAAAATTCCCTCCGCGTACCTTTCTTTTAAATGGCTGCGACGCACATCTTCAAAGAACGCCACCCTACAGAAAGGCTCTCTTAGCGCCGGGAAGAGGGAGAGGGTGGGGCTTGCGCGGCCGCCCCGGAGGAACGGATTGGGGAGGGGGGGGGGGGGGGCACTGTATCACGAGTGCTGCGCTCTGCCTTCGGCCGTGTCGCCCCCCACACTCCGGCCGGTGCTGCGGCCGCTTCAACTCCTCTAGGCTGCGATGCGCAGGGTCTTCTACAAATGGTTTGAAAAGGGACGGGTTGAAACGCAAAGGGTATGTCGAGTATCGGTTGAAACGGGACGGGTTCAAATGAGAAGGGCAAAGGGAATGGGACGAAACGGGACGGGTTCAGACGGGAAGGTCGTTTCGGGAATGGGTCGAAATAGGACGGGTTCAAACGGGAAGGTAGATTCGGGAATGGGTCTAAATGGGACGGTTTCAAACGGGAATGGGTTTTTTCGGGCTACACCCGCCTAGCTTCCTTCCACTTTCGCGGAGAGGCTGTCCCGTCGCGCTGTCCTCTTTCTTCCGGGTGCCGGTCTCATCGCGCGTGTCTAGTTTCCTTCGGCTCCTCGGGGCGGAAATAGTCGTCCACGCGAATGTATATAAGCAACCAGAAAGACAAGTTGCCTTTCTTTATTTCAAGTTCTCTTCTCTGGTCGGAATGGGGAGGCCGCGTATAGTCCGGACTCCCGAAGATCAATGCGTCTACGAAGAGCAACCGCGGGAACGGCAACGAGAATGGAAGCGGCGGCGGCGGGCGGCAAACACAACCGATGAAGATCGTGCATAAATGTGCTCGTGCCTTTGTTCAAAATGTTGTCACGTCTGTGTCGTGTGCTAAGCAGCTTCGCTGGTCATCAGCCTTCACAGGGTGGAATGTCTCGTGATTTATTTTCTAGGAACTGACTATGGTGACGGGGCGCCTCAATTTAGAAACTGCATTACGGTGACGGGGTACAGCAACCGATACAGATTTCCAATGGATTGCCCATTCCGAAAGCGCCTCATGGCGCTGTTGTCGATGGTGTTAAGCAAGCTTTTAACTTGTGACTTTATTGAAAGTGTTCTTCGTGAACCGTTGTATCGTTCCATGTTTCATGCAGGCCCAAAGCCTAATGTGCTATATAGAGTCAAAAAGATGACGCTGCCCCTTCTAATAAAACATTTTTTTTTTCAGTTACACACCAATGCACTCCCTGTCAAAACTAAGCTTGAGGGGAAAACAATTACGTACCGTGGGGCGTTGATTGTTTTTTGTGCTAAAAGCCTGAAACTATCGAACATGTTATTCTCAACTGCTGGGACGCTTTACTTTTCTGGGACGTCCTCCAACGAACTATTAAAAAAGACTTGCCTTTAACCCCATACGGCATTAGGTTTCTGTGGAGAAAAACTTGAAATACCTGTCGATCTAGTCATGTTCCTGGGCCTGCATGCCATATGGAGAAGTAGAATGGCAGTGACACATGCCGACGTTGATGTCCGACCCGTATCTATGTATTTCATAGAATCCATCTGCAGACTAAAATCTGTATACGCCACTTTGGTTTGTGCGCCTGGTAGGGTGTCAATTCTAGACGAAATTGAGACCTTGAAAGAATTAAAAATTTTACGACGCCACTTAAGTGATCTTTATTAAGGGAATTTAAGAGTGTGATCCTTTTGTATTGTACATGTCCAAACCGGCTATAAAAAAACAAAAAGAAAACAGGCCCCTCGTGGCGCTGTAGAATCATCGTCGGCTTCACGAGCTGAGGGTTAGTGGTTCGAATCGCGTTCTGGACATTGTTTTTCACTGTCTATTTTTTTTTATTTAGGTCACAGACGCTATATTTACGTGTAGGGACAGGGACAGGACCGCGAGGCGTGGGTTAATGTGCTTGTAAACTACAAGTTATTAATTCTCACTGTTCCCACCGCATACCAACACAGGACGGGCCCCCTCACTCTTGCCGGCTGCACTACAGTGAATAACGAATAGTCAGACGCCGCGAAGCGGCGTTTTCGGTTGAACCAAGTGAGTTCACATTTTTGTGATGAGCCGCCGCAGACTGTCGCCGCGAAGCGCCGTAAGCGCAGCTCGGCGGATGGGTGAACGCGCGCCCCCGTTATTCGCTAAAACGGGGCCCCCTCACTTTTGCAGGCTGCACTACAGTGACGGACCCCCTCACCGTAGTGAGTGCCTTTTTTCTAACCATTCATTCGGTGTAACCAAATGTGTAACAGAACAGCAAAAATGGCGGCGTCGATTGAAATATCTGCGGCTACGGTTATTTCCCAGCTTGTTCAAACATATATCAGGTGAACTTACTTGAAGTGGACCTTTCCGGACCTGTTCTCTGGAGCCAGCCACTGCACCACGACCCTCTTCTTCAGGTTCTTCGAGGTGTGCGTGATTCCAGAGCAGTGGCTGAATGCCCTCGAGTCCGGTCCGGGACTCCAGAAGGAGCCCACGTCCTTCTCGTCCTCGTCGAAGGCCTTGATGAGGAACCCCATGAAAGGAGAAGCCTCCGAGGACAGCGTCACTGCACATGAAAAGCATGCTTAACCCTCACTGTGATATGCCTTTGAAAACACTTCAGACTGCACAGTGTACGGTAATAGTTGTAGCGCAGAGTCTTGCCGAGCCAGAGCATCCGGGTCGGTTCTAATTTATTGTACAAAGAAGCCCGCGATTGAGAACAAGCTCGGAGTACAAGTGCCGTAAAATTATGTTCTAAGTTCCTCTCGGCTCCAAGTATACCTTCCGCATCTCTCGAGCCTCAGTATCACGACACGTCAATTATTTTTGTTAACACAAAAATTATTTATTGTGAGAAACGCGTTTCTTTATAATGTGGTCACAGTCTCACAGTCTGAATGTCATTGGCACATTTCGGTGGTTTTTCGGGCGTCGAAAAACCTTTCAATACCGGACTTTGTTTTTAAGTGTACGCGCTTTATTCCACTTTATTATTTTTAAATTTATCTTCTTTATTTTGCAGTCAAAATTCAAGATTTCAGTTATTTGGATTAAGTGTATGTCAAACAACAGATTAACTTTCAAAGGTAATAACTTTAGGATACTCTGGCTATGTTTGCATCTCGAATATCCAGCTTTCTTTTATAGGACGTTCACCTGCCTAATAATAATGACATTGCGAACATTTCTTATTATTCTTTGAAGTCAGGTTGAGAGAAGTGTCTTCTTACCTGGAAGAAAATTAATGTCTACAACTCTCTTTGCACGCTCCATTACGAGGCACGTATAGCACGATGCAATGAACTGGCTTCTCCTATTTCCAGTGCTTCCTATATCCGTCGCTGTGGACGAAGACTGAATTCGCGATGATGCCGACTGTCTTCCTTGGAGCAGCATAATCACCAACTAATGATTAAGTAAATGTTGAAATTTAGTTACTTGTTAAAATGTGCAGAGCTTTATAGAAAACAAAATCCAGTTTCTGTTTCATTCTTTTACCGTTTAGTGCTACGAACGTGTATTATACTTGAGAAGGAGACGTGCTCATTAGTTTATTTGACTGGTGCAGTCCGTCATTGGCTGAAAATGATCAATTTGTGGAAATAGCAGCATACACTGACGTCTGCGGTACTCTGCATGTACACTCAGGACCTTGAAAATCTTTCCTTTCTACAAACTAACAAAACATGTATTGCTAGCAGTGGTAATTAATAACTAGCAGTGGCAGTTAATACGGTTGCAAAACCACATTTAATATCGTGTATAGAATTTATTTAGTCTAAAGCGTAGAATGGGCTATTCCTTAGTGCTTTATAGACACCCCAGCGCACATTCGGGAAAGTATTCACGCAGTGGTATGATGTTTTTAGAGACCCCTACCATATTCGAATACTCCTTCGTTTTTCGTTTGTTTTTGTTTTTAATTGACCTAGAGACTTAATAGTGAACGCGCACCTGTGATGACGTCGCCGGGCTTGTAGTCTTTTTTGTTTTGGACGAGACGGTAGCCCTCGGCGCGACCCTCAGCAGCGCTCTTCTCATTGTATCCGTGATGCGGAAAAAGGTCTTTGCAGGCCTCGTCGTCAGCTCCGTCCGGGTGTCCCACGCAGATTCCAGCAAACAAGAAAACCAAGACCATCGACATCGCTACCTTCAGTGCCATTATGTTTCTGCAGTGCAATAGAAAAGGTTTTATTGGAAGATAGGAAAATACAAAACGATATGACACATGACAAATGCAACTATCGTTCGTTCAGATATGACAGGTAAGGTAGTACTTAGTTTTAACATGACGCCGTGCAAGTAAATGAAATTGTGCGTAACGCGACGCTAGCTGGTTGTACAAACAAAGAACCATATTGTTTAAAGGTTTCTTTTCAAATTTGAGGGCTCCAATAAACCTATCTGTGAAGAAGGACGGGCTAACATCGAACACCAATATAAGCGGTAAATTGTGTTGGCCAAAGCAGTTTAGAAGTAAAATCTAAGAAAAAAATGACTAGTCAATGTCGTGTTTGCGCCAGGGGTGTTGCGCAGTGTACGTTTATCGACGACAAAGATATAAACTTTTTACGTTAAATTTATGGCTCCTTAATGTGGTACACTGTTCTTCCTTTTGTTATTGCATACACTGTTTCTAGAGCTCAAAACCGACCAAAAATGGGTGCTTTGTTCATAAATGCGCAAAGCACAAACGAGCGAAAACCAGAAGCACCTATGTACACTCGACAGATGATATTAGAAAACAATATGTCCGTTTTCAACAACGTCCGAAGAGGCAGGTTTTAACATCTCGAACGTCCTGTTGTCGCGTGTCATTGACGTGGATGGGAAGGTAAAATGTCGCTGCATTTGACAATGCGCATACGTCACCTCCTCTTGTCCTGATTATGCTACAGATCCTGCCCTTTATTTATACTGCTGGCTCACGCTCACGTCACCTTGCGTGTTGGAGAACGGGCACAGATATGAATTTTGGCATATATGGCTTCTCATTTTTGGCAGCCAATAGGCTAGATTTACCTTTAACCAAATCAGCAATATTATAAACATACATCAATGACTTAACAAACTTTCTATCCTCCCCCGTGCGTCTATTCGCAGACGACTGCGTCATCTACAGGGCGATAAAAACACCATATGACCATAGAAGACTTCCATATGACCTGAATATAGATGAACAGTGGCGTAACAATTTTCAAATGATCCTAAACATGGAAAAGTACAAGTTACTAACGTTCAGCCGTCGAACCACCTCGTCTAACTTTTCTTAACATCTAGGTATCAAATTCGTTGGTCACTGCACACTGTATAAGTGCCTGGAACTTCGCCTCACCAGCGATCTCTCATGGGAATACCACGTCAACAAGATTGTTTTAAAACTAACCGCACACTTTGATACTTAAAGCGTAACCTCAAACTCTGTTCGCCCAAAGTCAAAAGGCTCGCCTACACAACCATGGCTTGGTCCCAACTAGAATACGCATCATTGATTTGCTCACCATTTCAAAATTTTCTCTCTAACAAAATAGAAAAATATTTAAACAGTGAACTAAGGTAAATTCGCTCTGAATACTCTTCCTATACCAGTACCTTTTTACTTCGTTTTCGGGCTGATCTCCAAAAACTTTCTTTTCGTCGAAGGCTCTCCCGACTTGCCCTTCCTCATAAGATATATTATCACAATCCGCCGATAAAAATTGCCCTTCTCAGCGCCACAGATCGAATTTCTGCTAGGGCTGACAATCTGTGTAAAATCGAATTCACCCACACTTCATCATTGTTCTTCGCAAATTTCATGCTACCTCTTGCTATTCACGATTGGAATTGATTACCCAACGACATTGTAGTAGAAATTAACACCCCTAAGTTTTGCGAACTTATCAATGTTTTCATGGATTAAAAGAACGAGTTACAAATTTGTGCAGTGATTTGCAAACTTGTTATCGCCATTAAACATTTGTACCACGTTTTTCTTTTTTTTTTCTTATTTTTTTTTCATGTTTACATTTGTGTTTAAACAAATGTCTTCTTACTCTCCCCTGTGTAATACCCGGGCACGGGTCTTCAAATTGACTATATAAAATGAAGAAGAAGAAGAAAATTGATTGTGTTATGAAGAATTTGGCAGCCTTGAAATGGCGCCGGTTTTTTTAAATGAAATGAAATTAACCTCGAACCTCAGAAGAACATGTGCTCTGCTGGGCACTGATAGCTCTTTTTTTGTGTGTGTGTGTGTGCGCAGCACTTATTTTTTGAGGCAAAAAGAAAAATGTTGCGCATACTTTTTCTAACCGCATGCACTATATTTCGTTCAAATTTTCCTAACCCTGTGCGCCGAAGCAAAAGCAGTTGGAGCCAATCAGGGCCCTCCATAGTGTGAGTGATGCCAAACCACTTCAGCTCGAATCTTGTCTTGAGTTTCACTTCACATATTAGCGGGACGGATTTGGTGAGAAATAGTGGTAGCTTAAGACTAATTATATGAAGGGATTACATATAAAGCAGGCTTCAAAGCTGATCTGACCTGTGTGCAATGGTATGTGATAACAAGTAGATAAAACGCCAGGGTGCTGAGTGACTTTCAACTTCGCCAGTTTCCAAATCTTAAACCTTTATGCAAGTTTGATCATGGTGACAAAGACTGAAGTTCAAATTGTGGATAGGCGTTCCAGGGAAGAAGAGAAGTGCGTCTGAACGGCACCCTACCGAAGATTCGCTTTCATTCCAGTTCTCACACGCCATGAGATGGCGTGTGTGACGACTGTTTCAGCCGGATGATGCATCTGTTACAGGTCTGTTACAGCGGGCGTTTACAACCGAACTCTGAAAATATGGTGATAAAAACCATTCTCCGGTATTACCATTTGACTTTTTATCACTTGCTGCATGATAATCCGCATCTCCCACACTTGCTGCATAATCCGCATCTCCCACACCAAGGGTACTTGAGCATGGATTTAGGCAAGCCGACTTTTTCATGGGTTAGCATTAGTACTTACATGACAGTGAAAAGCTGAGGGTGTCCGTCTGCGGACAAAACAGTGGAAAAGGAAGCGCGCCGCTTAGAGAGAGTTGGTTTATACCCAGTCAATCGGAGTTTTAAAAACAAACTGTCCTCGTATCTAATGATTTGGGAAGCTAGCTTCCAAGGCGACCTTACCTGTCCACAAAGATAAGGCGAAAAACTCGAATGAGAGGCAGGTTGCAGCGGGACCTAGCACTAAGCTGGCACTGGTTGCCTTTTATATTCAGATTTATATCCTAATCAGGTTCTTAGTGAGTTACGTCAAGTGGTAGCCAGACCTCTTTAATCGTGTGATTGATAAGGCATTTCTTTGTTCGAACCTAGATTTGGGCCGGTTAGTAAGTGATGAGTAATCTGAAACATTTGTCTAAACGCAGGAGATTATCTCTGGTTGCACCATGTTTCTGCAAGGAGCTCTTTTATATCGTGTAGCTGTGTGCAAACTGTCGGAAGTCATCTAAATTATTTGATTGCGCACACTTCATGGCATGAGTGCGTTTTCTGTTTAATTCCTGCACGTCAAGCATGGCTCAAAAGCAATGGAAATGTGTGGCAACACTCTCTTTGTAGAAAAGCGCGTTGTTTTTCAAGTTTTAGCTGCTGCCCAGTTAAAGAACTTACATAACCTGGGGATTAGCCACTATATTATATCTGTAGTGAAGTGGTAATTTGCACGATATGTACAAATTAACAATACATAGTACTAGTACACAAAAATATAGTACAATTACACAAAAAGTGTACCAGGACTCCATTATATCCCGGATATCTCGTATAGTTATACAGCCGTATAACTCAACCGTACAAACAGCATTAGCGTTTTTTATTAAATTCAAATCTTCCATATTTTTCATTCCGTTTTAAAATGTGAGATTTTAAAATATTTGGCAAAACCAACCTGTATACACTTTTAAAATCATATTATTTATTCCTTCTTTTACCTCTTTTTTTTAAAGTGCCTAGCGACCCCGATCGACGGTCAAGGAGCAGGCAGGCATAGGCCAATTTCGCTGGGCCTTGAGTGCTTTCTTTGTGGACTGTTCTACCTGCAGAATTCCGACAAGAACTCAGCGGAAAAAATTATTCTGCGTCAAAGACCATCTCCTGCATTCTGGCGCAGTGTCAGAGAGAAATATGGGAGTCGGTAAGCATTACCGACTGCATTGCAGTTGGCAGGTGAGAGGGTTTGCATTTGATGCGATAGTATACAGTCTTTGCGAGTTGCATGCCAAAGAGCAAATTTCAGCTCAAAAGAGAGTTGACTAATTGCTGGGTTTTCAGGTAAATCCGACAAACACTCGCCAGTGAAATTTTTGACAACTAGGATTTATCCGAAAAAAAAAAACTCAGAATTTCGAGGTCAGAATAATAAAATAGAAAGCAATAAAATGAAATGAATATGGAGTTTTGTGAAACAAATTTGTGAGAGCATAGGGTCGGTGGACCTGAGAAGTTGAACCTTCTGTTTACTTTGAAATCTTTCACTATTGACACACAGGTTTACCGTAAATCTCGTGAAAGTTAGTTCTGAACCTGAGGCCGTTGCACTTCTGAGTCACGACAAAAGCCCCTTTTCCGGTTTTCAGTTTGGAGCACACTATTTCTGCTTCTTAGAATGAGGAAGGGGGTTGTTATAACAAAGCTACAGACTTGTTGGTTTCATAAAAGAAGGCAGGGCTGCTGGAGCTTCCATCATCACCACCAACAACCTTCACCGGTGTTTAGTAATTTCAAAGCGTTAACGGTGATTGAAGCAATACTTTTTTGCAAGATTTTCGATAAACAGTTAGTATTGCAAAATTCCAAAGACTCCGATTCCAAATGCAGCCGCAAAAATACCTATTCAATGCAGGTGAGTTCTTATGAACAAAGGGAACGTTCCTGTCCGTATATGTTTAAACCGATAGCTTTAAGGGTGACATTTTCCAGAGATTTGGAGGTTGTCGGCTGTTGTCGCAGCTATGGAAAAACCCTTCTCTGCCATCTTGGCGGGAGGCCAGGGAAGTGGGGTCTTCCCGTCGGCCGCGCCGCGCAAACATAAAAAAGATGAGCGCCGGCGTCCCGCCAGCAATTGCGCGATGAAGGGGCAGTCTTTCTGTCGTGTGCTTCAAATACTTGTTTTCAAACATTACTCGATTTATACGAAAACTCACTCTGGCAGTATCCAGTTGCTACGGGTAATGTTGGATGGCTTCATAAACTTCCACTGCGCTTACCCACTTCCTTCCCGGATCACTGAGCACTCGTGGCGGTCGTCAGTGGCATCCACGTCGCCAACCGCGACGGCAATGAGAATTAACCACGTCACACCTCCGCCCACAGGTACGTGACGACATCATTTCGCACGCATTGCACAACCATGCTACAGCTATCGCTTTTATTCCTGCGCACAATCCGAGTGTTGATTCTTATTATAAATTCAAAATACTGCAAAACGAGTAAAATCAGATTTCAAATTTAAAAATAAATCTTGGAATCTAGAAAAAAAGTCTTCCGAGAGACCCCGACTTTTTTGCGAAAAATGAAGTTGGCGCAACGGTCTCAATGAACTTCGCAACACAAAATCCTACTGACAAGGAAAAGAGAGAGTCCGTCCTAAAGTTTCAGTACCAGAAAGTACACGCCAAAAAGATGGACTTTTTTTGTTGAAGGGAATATGCTAGGTGTTTTATTCTGAATGCAGGTTGACACCCTACCCAACGCCACATTTGTTTAGATGCCGAACCAGGTGGCACGTTTTTCACGCTCAGTTGAGTTGACAAAACGTCTTTATTTAATGCCATGCTCTACACGCGCGGCAGCGTCACCTCGCGTTGGTCCGCGTCGCTCCGTGCCTACATCTCTCCCTGCTGCGTATAGACCCTTTGCAAAACTCCCAAAAGGCCGCGCGCGTCACGCGATGAATTATGGGAATCCTCGGTACGCCCCTCCCATTGTGCTTCCTCCGGCTGCCACGTGAGATACGCGAACAGGCGGAGGCAACCAAGGCAACAACGCTCGACCAGCCGAGTCGGACGAGCGCACCGAAATAGGGGAGAGGTTATCACGTTGGCTAGTTTGCGAGGCCGCCCCTTTTTCGACCCTCTTTTTTGTACCGGCGCAGTCGTCTGCTACACCAACGCTTTGTCGAAGCTACTGGGACCCTGCCACAGTTGCGGTGCAAAATAAGTGTATCCGGTGACACTGCAAGAGGAGAAGTTCTGTCAATTTATGTCCATCGCAACAACGCAGACGAGAGTCGACCCGGCTACCACAGGCAGCACAGATTCTGCACGGCGCCAACCATCCCGGCGGATGGCGGGGATGGTGAATGGCTGCGACAGCTGCTGGCGCGCGTACTCACGCGCAGTCGCAAGGAGAAGGCTCGTGATCTGTACGGAGGGATCCCCGAATCCCCTGCTGTCGTGGCATTCTACGTAGTGCAACGGGTTTACCTTGTTGTGAGTGACCTCGAGCGACGAGCAGCGATTCTGACATGGGCGAAGCGCGTGAAAAAACGCAACATGTGGTTGGCCCTTAGAGGAATGAAAACTCTGGTAATATCGCACAAACGCCTTTTCTGGCGTTCCCCGAGCTCTTTCACGGGATAAATGGCGTGAGCCACTGCTTCACGTGAACTTTCATTGGATGCTTTGTATGCAACGAATTGTACGAGTTAGTGTCGCCGACATATTTTGAGAATGCATCTGGATGTGTTGATCTCAAGGCAGACGGACAGCTTTCAGGCACCTCACATGATCCCCGCAAATTTGTGTTCGTTCCTTGAAATATTTACTGCATTACGAGCTAACAAGCATTAAAAGTAATCATTGGCCATTGCTTGTTTAAAGCAGCGCGACATGAGAAGATTGTCGTTTTCTTGTCGCGCTGTTTTAAACCAGGAAGCTGATCAGCAAAGTGGCATTCCTTATTACTTTCGTAAAGACAAACTCCTAAGTCTACAAGCGGTTCTCTCTCAAGATATAAATCAACACTACATATTGTATTACATTACTTCTTCCAATTCTCACATCGCCACTGTAAAGTGAAGTTTCTAAAAAAGTAAAACCAACTTACCGGGTGTACTACACAGGCCCCATGGTTCCCTTGCGCAACCAAAGCGATCCTAGCGGCCAGATGCTACGCGAAAGATACTGATTGGTCTCAAAGTTTCGATTTCGATTGGCCAACCTAACACTAGGACATCCTGACATGACCAAATACAGTGATTTCGTTTTCGAATTTAATACTGTAAGTGTTGCCCACCAATAGAAATGAAATACTGGGGCCCTCTTTTTTGAGCTCCCGGCGTGTCGGAGTTTGTGCGCAGGTAAGCACGGGACGGCGTACATTGGGTTGTCATCCTCAATTTCCTTCAGTTCATAAAGGATCCGTGAACTGGGAAGATCATGCTGTCTCTGGAGCGGCAGCCCAGCTGCCAAAAACGTAGGGGGCGCGGCAGGCCGTACTCGCACGCCTCTTTAGTCCTAGACACGGTTCTTACTGCTGCTGGAAATTCGTTTTTCAATGAGGGCTCTAACGAATATGGCCGGTTGCGATGAAATAGAACACTGACTGGATTTGCACGAGGTGGTGAGATGCACTTCTTCGTCAACCGGACATTCGAAATCGAAACCATGCCACTCCTCTCCATGGTCAACCAGTCCCCATTCTGGAACGCGCGCAGTGTTGCGTGCAGAGATTTTTGAAAGATGTCAGTAAAAGTTTCTTTTTTGGTTCTTAGTACTTCTTTGATGAAGATGGTCCTCGGCGTCTTTTGTTGTTGAAGCCGAATCCAGAAGCCGCTAGATGGTTGACGTTTTCCAGGTGTTTATTTGTCAGAATAATTACTGACTCTGTACGTTTGTTACAAAAATTCAGGGATTCGGCATCATTGCTGCGCGCCTCCAAGTCTGCGCGCGCGCACAGCTCATACGCCAAAATCGTCATTCTCTCGCCCGACACGGGCCATTGCAGGAAAGGTCCTTCTCTCCCTCTGGCCAGGACCGACCAATAATTTTAAAACCGAAAAAGATCACGTAGTATACACCTGTCCAATAAATGCCCGACAGCAAATACAACACCCCGTCAGTACTCCAATCGCCACAACCAAATTCCTTGTCTAATCGTCCCATGCATTGTTCGTCGCCTGGCTGGCGCCTGAGCGTCGACTGCCCGGATCGGGTAACACGCACGCTCCGAACACTGGGGCCGACGGCCGTCGGAAGCAAAAAATAAGAAAAGAACACACCCCCGCCGGCGC